GGAAATTGCTAACTGCTACTAGAATCAATGAACAGCTCTATGAAGAGATACTGGCTCCAATGCAATTCATACACATAAACCTATACCACATATATAAGCCCTATATATAAGCCTATACGTGGAAGCTCATAAGGGAGCCACGGCAGCCTCCCCCACAGGGTTGTTGAATGCAGGAATATTATGGACATTGCTTTGAATTCCTAAAGGAAAGGAAAGAAACAAATCTAATCTCACTGGAAGCAACAGGTACATAATGATGCCCATAATTCAATGGAGCCACACATGGAAAACGACAACCAGCCTGTTTCCAGATCAAGAAATTCATGTTCAGGAACAGCAACAGAAATGCCTCTATGATTACAACACTAATTGGTTTTCTCTACTGAGATTACATCCTGTGCAAGAAACTGATGCCGAAGGATTCCTCGCTCCCATTTTTAATAGGATTACTCCTCAGTGAATGATTGTGGATTGATGACTAAATTGTTTAATCCATAAAATGTGTGGGCATGTAGCTTTAAAATGTTAATTCCAGGAATAAGATTAAGCTGGAAGAGTGTGTTTCTTTCTTTTGTAAAAGTTTACTGTGCAAATTTTCAAAATATAGCTGACCTTTCTTAAATATGATTTTATTAAACAAAGAAATTAACAATGTATATACACTCTTAAATCTCTGTCTCCCTTTCAACAATGAAAAATGAATTTTATAAGAGTGAGAAATGCAGAGAGTGAAGTTATAAAATAGAAATAGATGCTTATCTCTTTGGGATGATTTTATCAGTTTTAAACATTTTATCACGTTAGAATGTATTATACAATGTATTGATGTATTGTGCAAGTCATGTTATGCATAACAAGGTTAACCAACATAGGCCAATCACTGAATCAATGTAAAAAAGTTTATAGGAGTTATGCCTAATTAATCTTCTTGAAAACAGCACACTACTTATATTTGTGAAGTAAGTATTATACTCCTCATAATGTAACAACAAGCAACAAGAATGGTTGTTACTTTTAGAGTAAAATAATACTCAACCAAATAAGATAAAAACTCTTCTCAAACTAACATTTATGGACAACTAATAATATAAACATGGCAACTTTCATTTGAAAAAAAATAAGCTCCAATATTAACAATAACTTGAACTCAAAAATTCTTAATTACCTTCCCTATTTATTTTGCAACAGTTGCATTCGGAATGGAAAGCAAATCTTATTTTCAGAATTAAATCAGTATAGTTTTTACTCTGTAATTCAAATTCAGATCTATATGCAAATATTATTGGACTCATCTTAACATTTCCCATAGATAAAACTATTTGCTCCCCGCCCCCCATTATTTGCATCTCCTGTTCAAAAATCCTTATTTTTACAAATGCCTCAAAAACAGATTTTACATTAAGCAAGTAAGTTATTCATGGGTGTTAAAGGTATTTCACGAATTGTTTGATTTAAATGTATTTTAAGGAAAAGAATTTACATGAATTAGGATTAAGTTGTGCTACTATTTTTTATTAGTAAAATGTTTTAAATATTATCAATTGAGAAGCAATTTGAACTTTGAGAACTACTATTGCCTTAAATATAATGAACTAGAAGGGAATATGTACATTTATGTTAAGCATAAATCTAAACTATCAGCTGACCTATCTATATCCTCAGAAGCTTTTCAAGTATTTTGAACTTACAAGAGAAATATTTCAGCATGCTCCATTGTTTTCATAATATAGGAAAATCCTGTTCCAGGAGATGATTTCAAAGATCTGTGTGCAATCCTTACTAAAACATTATAGAGTACAAGAATTGACACCATCTTCTTCTTTCCAAATGACAAAAAACAAAGGTAGGGGTGTGTGTGTGTGTGTGTGTGTGTGTGTGTGTGAGAGAGAGAGAGAGAGAGAGAGAGAGAGAGAGGCTCCTACAGCTGAGTATAAGGACAGAAAGAAACAGGGCAGGTCTATTTAAAGTATTGTAGTGTAATTACGTATTGCTTAATGAAATGAGCTGGTTGTTTAAGTAGCATTTAGTTTCTATGTATGTGGAAGAAACATAGGTATATTTGCAAGGACTGAACAGAAACAAATTGCAGGTAGTCCTTGAATTAAAATAGTTCATTTAGTAACCGTTCAAAGTTATAACAGCAGTGAAAAAAAAATCTGACTTATGATCATTTTTCACTTATGCATGTTATGGTCATGTGATCAAAATTCAGACACATGGCAACGACTCATATTTATGGCTGTTGCAGTGTCCCTAGGTCATGTGAACACCTTTTGTGACTTTCTGACAAGTCAATGGGGAAGTCAGATTCACTTAACAATCATGTTACTAACTTAACAACTGCAGCAATTCACTTAACAAATGTGGCAAGAAAGGTCATAAAATGTCTCGCTTAGCAACAGAAATTTTGGGCTCAATTGTGATCATAAGTATCTGTACAAGGTAATTTCCATCTAATAAAATATATTTTTGTTTAGTACCCCAAATTATCTCTTTGGACCAACTCCTTGTCCTTTTCCTTGCTTAAGTCATCAGGCAATTAGATTCGCTTTTGAGTGAACATTTATAAAATCAGATTATAAATTAGCAATGTGGTCAAATAAGTCACATAGAAGCTTATGGTATTGTTGAAAACTTAATGTAAAAGTCATTCCTGTATCTATAAATAAGAAAAAAACTGTCAAAAATATTTCTTTAAATTATGGCACGGCTCAAAGCAATAAAGAGTGGCTTAAAAAGGAATTTAGCACTGCAAGAATATGAGTAGTTCATTTCAATTTTTAAAAAATACTTAAATAGCATGCAGAAATGCATCATTGCTAAAAAATAAAATCATCCCCATGATTGTAAAAATGTGGTACAGTAGCATTTATTTACACACTAGAATTAGATTTGTTTATATGTGATAATAGCTCCTCCATATCTCTCAAGATCTTATTACAAGAACTGATAAAGACTTCAGCAAGAATGAGAAATAAAGAAGCACATTTTGAATGACAATGTGCCAAAGTCTGCCCCAATTAAAATCAACAGGAGCTTATACTAGCTGGAATGCCTAGACACTCAGCCTTCCCCAGCCTAAGTAGGAAGTGTTTCACTAAAGAATGGCTGGACGCCAATGAAACAAACCTTTGGTACCCAGGGTCTCAGGCCTACATTCATTTTCTCCCTCTCCCCATTGAAAGGGAAGTGTGTTTGTTTTTCTGATTCATTCAACCCTTTTAGCTCTTTGAATTCAAGGAGTGGACTGTGAAAGAAGAGCATCTTATCCTTATCAGTGTGTTCCAATCCATCATCTGATTAGCATCTGCATGCAAAACATACAGCCTTCCAGTAAAAGGTTCATCCTCTTTTCTCTCCCTGCAGCTTCACCTTTATCACTACCTTCTTATGGTGTCACTGATGGATCAATGAACAACAAAACTTTTAAAAAGATTTGGCTTACTTTTCGACTCCCTCAAATGCTTGTTTACATTGTATTTGTAACAAAAAAAAATAGCGGAAGACTGTGATTACTACTGTATTATTTGCATAGCCTTTTTTTTTTCCTTTAGAAGAAAGACCTTCCCTAATTATATCAATTGATCATTTAAAACCAAAACATAATATTATAAAAGATATGCTAGAAATCTGCCCATTCTTCTAAATGTTTTATAAAATTGTTAACATCAGGCTATGGACAAAATGAGAAACATTAAAGATTAAACTAATATTCCACGAAACCTTTAGCAACATCGTCAACAACCCCTACACTTACACATAATTAAATTAAAATAAAGGAGCATTCTGTCACAGAATAATCTCACTGAAGCAATCAAGATCACAGCTCTAATGATAGAAAGTCCAGTTCTATAGAGACTGATTAATTTTTGTTCCAGTCAAATTTCTTGCTATTCACGTTTAACGAAGATATTGTTTCTAAATACATTTGCATGCCCAGAAGGGAAAAATAGTTTTATGAAGAGGCTAAATTAAAATGGAATGAAGAGAAGTCTGTTTTATATGAATAAGGAATACTTTGGAAGACAGCTAGACATCCCTTTCTCCAACCACCTTTTTTTTTTTTTTAGAACAGGATATTGACATAACCATTCTAGGAGCACAGTCTACTAGAATGTCTGTTTGGGGCAGAATTAAATCAACATGTCAGACTGAAACTCGTCATATTTTTTAGAATCCAATTTTCTTGTTGTCTGGAAAGGAAGAGGAAACAAATAAAGCAACAGTAATTTTGTGTGTAAGCCATTTTAACCATTTCTTCAATACATATAGCAAATGGATAAAAGGCACTATTGTATGCAATTTCAATTACACATTTCTAAGAATTACTTAAAGGGGTGTCTTATTACACATTAATTTTAAGTTAGAGAAACCCGCGCCTTGGCACGATATCCACATCCGCCCCGTGGTATAAATAATGTCCAATCCCCCCCCTTTTTTCCGTCAAAGAAAAAAATGTCTTTTTGCTTGGGGTACGTCTCTCCCTCTTTACTATTTCCACCCAAATAGACACTACCGGGCTGAAGTGTCTATTCGTTTTCTAAGACATTTGTCCGTACCCTCTCCTTCCCTGATAGCAATCGAGAGGTGGTGGTGGTGGTTTTATTACTCGGTCTTGGGCTTCCCTATCCTGAAACAACACCGCTTTCTGCAAGATTTGTATGTTGCCCAGTCTGGAATCTCCTGCCGGAACACAAAGAGGCGGCGTTCTTTCTTTTCTTTTTAAGTGGGAATCCGCGTGATACAATCTTAACAGGAAGAAAAGGCAAGAAGCAAAGGGGAAAAAGACACTTAAGCTCGTCCCGGGGAGGAGAGGGGGGGAGAGAGAGCGCTCGATTCACTACTAGATCCTCAAGATCGAGCCCCAACTACAATTAAGTCCTCACCCCTTCTTCTTCCTCCGCGCCCCTCCCTACGAGCAAACCTGCCCTCCCCCGCCCCACAGAAACTGCAACTTGATTCCTCCTCCCCTTTTCTCCTTTAAAAAACATTTTTTTTACCTGCTTCCTATATGGAGTCCGGCTGCCGCCCGCAGAGTTGCTGCTGCTATTGGGGAAAATCATTGCCCAGCCTAAGCCCGAACTTCCCCTGCGGACGGGAAGCAAGTTGGCTGGGGCGCGATTCAGGGAGGCGACCGCTGGAAAACGCCTCTCTCTCCCCGGCTGCTGGGACGGGTCTCTGCTCCTGCAGCTGGCTGCTGGCTCGACGCCTCCGCCTGCTCTGCCTCCACCCCCCTCTCCCCGGGCTGAGTCTCTCATGCAACGCGCCCGTCGTCCTCCTTCCCTCTCCTGGGATCACCGGCGGCAGCGAAGCCGCGCTGAGCCTACAGCTTCAGCTGGCCAGCCTGCCATAAATGCCCCTTCATTGATCTAACCCAATACTACCGCTGCTGCCCGCCGCGGCGACTTAAGCAACAGCAGAATCGATCCTAACTACCAGCAGCCTCAACCACCGCCCAGCGAGCGAGAGCAAGGGAGAGGAAAAACATACAGAGAGCGCGCAACCGAGCAGGAGGGGTGGGGGGAGTCGAAACAACTAAATCGGAAGGCACCGAGCCGCTCCCACGCGGCGGCGGCTATTCGGCGTATAGGCACGCGTCGCGAAAGGGCTTTTTTCCTCCGGACCGCGCGCGACGCCTCGCAACGCGCGTGCTTCTGCGCCCGCCGCAGACATGGGCCGCTCCCGTCCCCCCTCCCCGTCCCGTCGAATGGTTGCTTCTGCCTCTTGCATACCGCGCATTCCTCGGGGTAGCCAGTCAGTCGGCGCGCTCTCCGATTCGCGGTGTGCGCCAGAGGGTAGCAGTACCGCGTTCCGCAGGCAGGGCCGCCGGGCCGTTCTGTCTGCGGACGCGCGAACGGCGAGCCCCGGCCGGGATCCGTATGTGCGTGTGCAACTAAACCCCCAGTGACACAAAAGGGGTGGGTGGTGGTTGCTTGGGTGGGAAGCAGCCATGGCAAAAGTGAATTTCGGCGTGGGCGACGACGAAGCAAGTTTTCCATTAACTCCAAGGGGCAAAAACTGTAGCCGCCTCTTAGGAAACCGGCCGCTCTTTTAAGTGTCTTAAGACAAACCATCACCCAAAACTAGTGAAAACTAGAGCCAGGAGTTAATGCCACCGAAAGGGCTCCGATGATGCCGTAGTAGGAGAGGAAAAGAAAAACAGTTCAGATGGTTCTGGTTGTGAGTAATGGCGGGGGCTGAGCAAAGGGAGCAATAGCAACCATTTTCCGCTTAGGTTTTGTTTTTTCCTTCGAGTGTCACCGGATAAGTCCATTCTTCCCTCACTTCGGTTTGGAGAAACAAGGGTTGAATACGGACCTTGCTTCCCCCCGCTCCCACCAGCGCTGCTTATTGACAGGGCAATGCCAGCGCCAATAATGAAAGAAAGCCAATCTCCCTGAAGGAGACATCCGCGCCGCCGCAAACAGTTTGAGTATTTGAAGTAAAACTTCTGATTAGCGCCACGCCAAGGGCTGAAACTAAAGCGCAAGAGCTCTTTTCTTTCCCTCAAAATACATTATTACCCTTGTGGCAGGAGAGTGAACATGCAGGGATGACTAGAAGACACCACCCACTCTTGACGGAACTCCAGAGCTTGGCTGAAGCCGTGTGAGCTCCAGTAATAGGATCCTTATACGGGCGCAGACCTGGAATGTGAAAACGCTCTGAAAAGCGCCAGACCCCGCTGTTCGTCGAGCAAACAGGTTGCTGCTAAACGATTAAGTCGGTGTACTACGTGAGGGAAAGATATGCCCTTTACTAGACGACAGAAGATGAATAAATGCGCTTTCTCCTTCTCAAATGTAAAGGGCCGTGTGCTTTATTTTTATTTGTGCGTTTCTGTGCAGCACTCCCGTTAGGAGAACTCTTTTAATGTGACAAGGGAAGACACTAGGAAATTTAATTCCAAATTAAAAGGATAGGATATAGTTGAGTCTTTCCATACTGAAAAGAAAAAAATACAAACGGGGGTAGGAAAATATATTTGTAATGGTTACGTGCTAGATATTTGGAATGCAACAACAGTTTCCTGCCCCTGAGGGGATACCAATGGCTTTTGACAACAAAGTTGAAAGACAACTCCAAAACTACAGGGCAAGATAACCTTTACCCTAATTCCAGAATTTCAACAATAACAAAAAATGTCTCTCTGTGTGCCTTTGAGTCAGTGTTGACTCTTGACAACTGCCTAGACAAGTCCCTGCAGTTGTCTTGACAAGAATTCGGAAGTGGTTTACCATTGTCTTCTTCCTAGGGCTGACATAATAACTGGCCCAAAGTAATGCTTTTTTAAAAAAGTCTAACATAGACATTTGGGTAACACTAATGGTTACCTTGAAATATAAAAGGGTCAGAACTTCAGAAATATGAATATGTAATTATGTAAATTGGAAAGCTAGGTTCATTGGGACTTGGTTCTGAAATAAGGATGCATTGGTTTTCATTAGCATTCTATAAACATTTATTAATTTGCTATATATTAATCACTGTTTGTAATATTCCACAGCTAAAGAGTTATGCCAGCTTCAGAGTTTTGTAATTTGGGAAGTTTAATCTCACTCTTGTGAAGAATTGGAAACACTGGAATGTAAATGTTTTATTTCTGGCAAAATAGGACTTGTTGCTGTGCAACTGCAACTAATATGCCTCAAATAGCAAATGAATCAAGAATTACATTCAGACCTTACAACTACATTGTAAATCCAGACTTTGAATGACAGCACAGCACTATCCAAATCCTTCTGTAGTGTGACAGCACTCACACAGCTCTTAAAAATAGTTTAAAGCAGTAAGGGGGAAATCCAGTTAGTTTCACTCACTGTTCACTTCTACTGAGTGCTCATCAGAAATACATAATTTCAATGTAATCTGTATTAGTCAGCTCATGTTCTCACACGACTGGTCCTCAAATTGCTTCCACCACCAATGGGATCTTTTAAAAAGCTCTTTAAGAAAATAATAAGACAAATGTGATTTCTTTTTAATATGTTCTGTGAACCACTCAGTTGCAATTGTAAACCTGGTTAGGCATGTGCAGATTTTGCTAGGACATCATGTTAAAAGAAGATTGACACTGAACTTAGTGTGTATAGTTAATTGTCCCTCATGTATTATACAGTACTTAAGTCAGCTTTTGCTGCGGCTGTATCTAATGTTGTATATTAGAGGACTTTAGCATTAGAGTTCAAAGTTCTAACGGTCAAATAAAAAATATAACAACTTTTCACATACTTTATCCATACTAGGCTAATCTACAAAGTGGAATGGAAAAGTAGAGAGACCCTGCAATGGCATTCTGTTGCCTCCAGAAGATAAAGGTTTCTAGGAAAGCATAAATGCTCTATTTTTAAAATTTCTGAACTAAAATTAGAATTTGGAGAAATTCAATCATTTTACATACAATTCTAATATTTCCTAAACCCTAGTCCCTATGATACCTAGACCCAATTATAGGTATTAAAGGATTAGGCGCTTAATCCTAAAAAGAGTGCTCTGAAAGGAGAGTCTTGGTCTTTTGTGTCACAGGATGCTATTACTTAGAAAGCATTCCAGGTTGTTGTTTTTTTATAATATCTCAGTAAAAGCCCCAGAAGGTTGATATAAAGAAAACAATTACTTTGCGGTACTATCCTATGTAGAACTATTTAGAATTAAACCCACTTAACTAAACGAGACTGCAATCTAAATTATTTGTAGTTAAAATTTACTGAATAGACCTTCACCCACAGATTTTAGAGCAGTGTACAAAAGGATGATCAAAGCTATATAGAAATGCTGTGGAATGCATCCTATCTGAAGAAGTGAGCTCCAGCTTATACCTTTTAATAACGTGTCAGTTGGAAAAGATGCTACTAGATTCCTGACTTTTTCCCCTTCCTTTGGTGACATGGCAACCACCAAATACATCAGATTCCTACTTCTCCCTTTCTCCATACCACTCTACCCCCACCCCAATTTTCTTTGGAGTTTACAAAAGATGTGAGGGGAGGGTGGTAAAAATGAAAAGGAATATTCCAATTCCAACTCCACTTCTATAATGTTTTACGTAACTCAATATAATAAAAATATTTGCAACCAAATGCAGCAGAGGGCTCGCATTCAAATTAGAAAAATAGTAAAACAAAATCCAACAGTGTAAAATCCATCAAAAGACCCTGGACATGTCTCTTTAAGGAGGGCATACAAGAATCATGCTACACTGTTCAATTATTATACAAAGCAACAAAACCTCTCCAAAAGTCTTCAAATTCCAGTCTCTCACCAATATTCACATGGGGGCCAAATTTGCTATAGGAACATAAGAATAGCAATGGAAGTTTAGTTCCTAAACTGATTACAATCTAAATAATGGATTATTATTACAGTTGCACCTCCACATTATTTTCATAACTCAGGGCACTTATGACAGTCTATACATGTGGCAGTAGTGTTCTTTGACAAAATACTTTAAGTGCCTATGTAAAACTTAATAGAAATGCTCTGCTGTGGTTTTACATGCAACTAGATTTATATTTACTTAGTTTTATACTGTATCTTCAGGAATAAATACCTTCATTTTAATTGGAAGAATTAATTTGTCAGAATATTGCCCACAACAATCTGGGTCCTCATTTTACTGACCTCAGAAGGATGGAAGCATGAGTCAACCTTGAGTCAGTCAGCATCAAACTGGCAGTTGACAGAATTAGCCTGCAATACCGCATTCTAACCACTGCGGCACCACAGTCCAATGAAGACTACATACAGGTAGATTAACATTAATTGCAGAGAGGCTATCTGAAATGCTGATGTTTAGAATGCACAATGTTTGGCAAACTGTGTAAGAATAATAACACAAACATATTTAGGTATCATCAAAATAAAAACAAGAACCAGTGTATCATTTGTTCAATAAAGATAGCAAATTGCTAGTAGGCATTAAAGAAAAGTCAGATTTACTCATCTCCTATTTTGGTTCAGTCTTTTCCAACAAGAAAGTATGTGTTCCACGGGAAATTGTGAAGAGCAGGATGAAAGTGCAGGATGGAAGTTTAACAGATACTTGATCACGTAATACCTCCTTACTTTGACTTTAAATGTTCAGGCCCAGATAAATTTTATCCTAGAATACTGAAAAAGCTATGTAATGCCAAAATCTACATGTACTGTCTTTGAAAAACTGGAAAGATGGTAAAGAGCCAGAACACCGTAGAAGAGCAAACGGCTGTCTTAAAATACAGAAAAAAGATGGGGGGACTCAGACAACTACAGACCAGCCAGTTTCTGATTGATAGGTGGAAAGCAGAGCAAAGTGATAAAGAGATCTATCTGAAAGGCCTTAATTAATAAATTAGTTTGCTTGGCTGCCTACTGAACAAGCAATTCTTGGGTAGCTAACAATGTTGAAAATAATAAAAATGCCCCCCCACCCAAAAAAAACCCCAACACAACCCAGCAACAACAATAAAACCAAATATAAA